CGAATGAAAGCGCTTGCCCGAAGTTATGTGTATTGGTAATGTATGGACAGACAGCTGGAGCAGCTAGCTAGAAGTTGTAGCAACTGCGCTACCGCTTCAAGGGCACCGCCGAAGGCTGAACTCCACTTGTGGCCTAAACCAACTAAATCTTGGAGCCGTGTTCATGTCGACTTTGCAGGCCCAATAAATGGCCAGAACTTTCTCATAGTGGTCGACGCTTGCAGCAAGTGGCCGGAAGTGTCCCTCAAGAGCAGCACGAAAATCAGTGCAACAGTCTCGAGGTTGCGACAAATCTTCAGCAGGCTCGGCTGATCTGAAACATTGGTGAAGGAAAATGGAGCACAGTTTGCTTCGGCCACATTCACGGAGTTCTGCAAACGCTGCGACATCAAACACTTACGGTCGCCACCAATCCATCCACAATCGAACGGCCAAGCGGAGACATTTGTGTATACATTCAAACGCGCTCTCCTCAAATCAAGGATGGAGGGAGACATAGAGGTGATTGACAGTTTCCTTTTTCTGTACCGATCTACACAGAATCCTCTAACGCCGGGTGGAACATCACCAGCAGAGACAATGATGAAGAGAAAGCTTCGCATGCCATTTGATGCAGTTTGGCCGTCCTCAGAGTCCACAGCTGGTGAAAGGAACCACAAGATGGAACGTGAGGTTAATCGGTGATTTGGTGCTAAGCGACGTTTGTTTAAACCGGGTCAGTCGGTACTTGTACGCGAGGACCGGGAAGGACACGTAAAATGGACGCCAGGCCCGATCCAGGGCAACCGCAAGTGAATTTTTAGGTAAATTTCTCAGGTGCCGTAAACCTGCTGGCAATCAGAACAACTACAAGTTACGAGGCCATGCATGGTGCATGTACAGGAAAGTAACCATTCAACAGACATACTGTTTAGGAAGTTTAACAGCACGGGCATCACGCCGTGACGTGGCGGAATGCATTAAAATCTGGCTGCATAACGTGCGCCATAGATCTGCAATTCGTAGGTTACGGAGGTAGTTACTGCAATAGCGCAAGGTACTATTGCATTTCGTCTCAAAGTTGCTTTACGATTATACTGCAGGTGGATACCAACCCCCGAGGAAATCGTGGATTTGAAGATCTAAATATTGTACACTTGTATAAATGTGACGTCCTTTCTTCAGCTTGTGTCCTCTGCTGCTCGCCTAAGGAAACGCACCGGGTTGTCATTGCAGTGCGGACACAATAGGAGGCCACGTATGGGTTAGGCGCTGTGTCACTAGCATGTGACTTCCCAATTTCAATGCACCAGCAATTACGTACGGTGGGAAGTGCGATTAGTATCAGATAAGTAGGATACTGTAATAGGTAACATGTTTCAAAGGGTGGAAGCGTGCATAGAGTCTCGTGCTGCGGTCCACGGTAGCGGTGTATCTTGATTAGTTACCGCTTATCAGCTGATTCAAGGTCGCGCGTGGGCCGGGCGCACACTGATTGGTTCAAAAAATCGTCTCACTTGCTCAGGCCACGGTTTGTTCAACGTCCACTAGTTCGCAACCGCTCACTCCGGAGTCCCAGTCGTGTGTGATCGTGGTAAATTCATGGTGAAAACGGTTCATTGTGCTGGGTGGGTCGCAATGTCGAGAACAAGCCATGTATTTACTTATTTAATTGAACTGAGCAAGTTTATAAGCATCAGTTACTGCAGTGGTTTTGTGCTAAATCCGCAAGTCCAGCAGAAAAGTGGCACAGTAGGGCGGTTGTTTATGGTCAATGACAATGCCATCGTCATGAGTTCGACCTCAATTACGATATCACATATAACGGGTATTTACGCTGAATACAACCGGGTCTCTAGAAAACTTGGGATTTCAGTCTGATAAATTATGTGACCCAACTTAACAATGTTTCGCTAAAAATGGTGTAAATAAACGTCTTCGATCATATGCAAAGGACCTCATAACGTGCCACACCATATGCCTGGTCCGAGGTAACCTGCAGTTTACCCAATGTACGGCCCACGGCCCGTGTGGTTGTGAGATAGCTGTTAATAGTTGTCTATATATAAAAACAGTGAGGTGATCACGACCGAGATTATACTGATGGTGAGATCAAAACCGTATGCAGATTTTTGGTCTTCGCGGTTGGGCTGTGGAAATCTACGTTTCCTTATGCAAAAATAATTTAGTCGGAATTCATTTGTCGGGTTGGTGTTCCGCGTTGCAGTAACATTTTGGTTATTCGGTACTGGAAACTGATTACACTCAAAACCGAAGATGGGTGTGCAGACTTAGAGACAGGATATAACGATGACAAGACGCACACATATTTACAGAAAATCTACATCAAATGATGGCAGGCACCTGTTCAAGACGAGTCAAATGTCTACAATGTGTGCCCACTTCCGCTTCCGTATTCTCTGGATGTTTGCCAACAAGCATCGCGTATATTCATCGGCCAAAGAGTGCGTGAGCCGTTTTCGAGACATTCGTGGTTTTCACTCACATGTTCCCAGACAATTCGTTCCTGGTCTACTTTGGTTGAAAACAATGCATAGGAAGCCGGTGAAGACTTCTCGCAAATACTTGCCTGAAGACAACCAAGAACAGTCCGTCACCACCGTTCACACGATGACAGACTGCTGGGAACAAATTGATTTAATCCGGTATAGCAAAAGGCTTGCTCGAATACACTGGTGGCATTCCCATAAGCACCAGCTACTCTGAAGGACGGTAAAGGGATTTCCTAGTCTGATAATATGGTGGTGTAACTGCTCAATAAAGCTAAGAAATAGTGTGTGTGGAGTCAACACGGCTGGTCCTACTTTAGAACAAAAAGAAGCGCGGTAGCATCTCGACAGTAAAACACAGGCAACAATTTTCAAGAGTTGCTCAGTAAGGAACAAACCAGGTAAACAGACATTGACCCAAGGTCATACTGGAGGAAGTCGATACTGGCAATGCTTTTGGCGGATATTAACGTCACTGTGATGTTCAAAAGTAGAAATAAATACAGCCGAACGGTATGACGGAACAAATGTTAGGAGTAAGAGAACCAACCTCATCACTAAAATATATGGTGGTCTCAGATGACGAGAGTGCCGTAGCACAAGGTGTAAGGGAAGATAATTATGGTTGGGAAGTGTTCAATAGATTTTCAAAAGCAAATAAACTAGATTTGGAATCAAACAAAGGGTAGACAGAATACCGATGAAAATATCGAGTGCCACGTGATGTTAAGGCGACCAGGAGCGAAGTTTACATTGGTTTGAATGAACACGTCTACGAACTTCAGCCTCTATTGTTTGAAGGCGATGGATGGTTGTGAATTAAACTAGGCCGACTCAACGGACTCATTGAACCGCAGAGGGCTAGGATGAGGAAACAGCCGAAATAGAAAACGTGGCAGGCGTTGTTACAAGCAACCTCAACTTGAAATGCGATTCGCTTTGAAGTGCATCTCGGTTAATGGGACCGTAGGTGTCATTCACACCCTCCACGTACAGACAGCAAAGCTGCGGGATCGGGATCACGAATGTGGAGATTGCTGGTGCACACCTTTACCAGCACAGTGGTGAGCTATGAGACGGACGCCTACCAGAACGGTTCGGGGTATCCGACATTGGAATCTGCAGAAAATGCTGTGTGAATGGAGTGTCGAAGGCAGTTCAAGGATGTCTGGTGACGTTGGATGTGACCAACACTCCAAATGCACCAGATACAGCCATTTAACTAACCGAACAGTAGCTCTGGGATTGTGTTCGCGATCAAGCAAGAACATGTGAAATTCATATTCAACGATGAAGCTTCCAGAGAAGAAACTGATCAGTGGCACCGTATCGAAGTAGCGGAATACTAGAGATGTTTGGATATAGCAAATCTACGGATACATTATGGGATCTGAGTGCATCAAGCCAAATCCAGGAGACACAAGTGGCATACTAAAATAGCAACAGAGACGGTGCTACGCACCGATTTCCATGCAAGAACGGTCCACTTGATGATGGATATACTCAATAGCTTGCAAACGTTCAAATAGCAATTATGAGTGTTTGTCCGCTCATTCTCTGAAAAATTTCAGAAATGACGATGATTTGTTACAATCCTAATACAAAATACATGAGATATCAGGAGAATGGGAAATGTACAAAAAGTACAGTAGATAAGGGTAGGCTATCACAATTTTCTAAATGAAGAACTTTGTGCTTCATTTCAGGGATCCCGCATCAAACAGCGAGGCGACGTACTACGACAAAATTAATTAGATGTCTGATTCGCAAGTCTACCCGGTGAATCGCCGACTAAATAAATAAATTTATTCTCGAAGAGTAGCATGTGACCGCAAAACATTGTTGACAGCAGTTCTTCTTATTTAGCACACAGCACTTTTCTAATCTTTGCTCCTCAGTCCAGTAAGAAATGGAACATAGAACTACGAGAAGAAAGGAATTAGGTCATTTTCAGACATAAACCCTACGTTACGTTTCCCGGAGTGCAGACAATCTCAATGTGACCACCAGATTAGGGTCATGAGAAAGCAACCCTAGGAATAGATGGGTAGTTTGGCGTCACAATTATCTAACAGTTACTGGAATGGGACTCAAATAGTGAAGTCGATATCCAACACAAGTTCAGATGGCTCAAAAAGACGATGGAAATATTGCATTACAAAAGACCTCACTAACTGTACAAGCAGAGGGTTTCAAAATAAATAGACTATCCGTTATCAACAACTGAGACCATCCTCGAACCCCTGCTCTAAGTGTCGGTAATAACGGTATTGATAAGTTGTCGGTAGTGAATGGCAATTCTGTGCTAGCGCTTCGTGCCTAAGTGATCGCAAGCGGCGGCGTGCAGACTGGGATACTACCGGGGCACACAAGCATGAGGGGAGTGGGGATTGGAACCCAGAGTGTAGAAATTGAAAAACAGCGGTCTAGACTACCAAACCACGGACTCAAACTGACGGCACTGGTCGACATGTTAGGAAAACGTCGCTTCAGACTTACAGAGCCATCCATCAAGCAGTGGGCAATTAAATTGAAGCTCTTGTCACATCAGAATAATTCACGAAAGTGAAGAAACAAGGCAAGCAAAACATGCAGCTACTCGTTCAGCATAACTCCTTTGGACTTGGACAAGCTTTGAAACATCTGCACGGAACTGGAAGTGAATGTAGTTAGTGAGCCTCAATTAACAGATAGATGACCTGAATGGAAACATAACCCAGCAGAAGTACACCTCACCGGGACAGCGATGCCAGAAAAGAGCACAGATTTGAGTGCCATGTCATCAACGACAAGGAAACCCGTTGCAAGAAAAGCAACTACCTCACTGCACCCAAATGTTGGGTAAGCATGGAAACGACAGCAAGTGGCAAAGACTGAATTACCTCATTGAAGCTGCAAGCCACTGTGGATTAGTGAGCAGAAGAGCTCCATAGTAAAAAAAAGACAGAATGAAAGCACACATAAGTTTAGATTGAACAACCTGCAGCGTTTCGTGTGAACAAGTAGGCTGGATGGTGGAGTGCGCTAGGTAGGGGAGAGGGGAATCACAGAAACGATGAGCTGCAGCAGCAACATTAGAGAGCGCAAATTCGGTGGCCAGCCGATGGAAAACCATGTGCAAACTAGCGATGTACAAGTTCTAGAAGATTAAGTGTTTACAGGAAAGAGGACTTTGCTCTAAAAATACAATCAGCACCACTGAGGATGAAGTCAGTGGAGGGAAGAGGAGTGCCAGAACGGTTCTGTAATGATAAAGAAGTTGTAGTCTCCAAACAAAATAGGAGGATGCCAAAAGAAGAGGCGCGCGGGATTTACTCGAATAACGAGATCTGTTTCCCCGTTTGTTCAGTGAGCTGATAAGATGGAGCACAAGAAAATCTGCTAAAGGAAGGTCATAAAAGACAGTTAAAATACAAGTGGCGAAATAGAAGAATAACTAGGCTTTGCTCGTTTGTTCGATGCAGTTAATCACCGAGGGGCTGCCCACTTTTTGAAGACTGTTAGATTTTTCGTGTGGTGAGTTGTGCTCTGAGGAATAGGTTGAGCCGTCAGCAGTGATGCCATTGACTAAGTTTCCTCCACTCACAGTCAAGTTAACAACAGATTTGGTAAGCAGATCCCCACCCTCCATAAACGCTTGATTGTCGCTCCGATAAACGTCCGAGCCAGTGTATGAGGTGTACACACCGCACTGCGCTGTTGCAATAGCATCATTAATAGCTTTCGAACGCAGTTCACTCAACTCGGTCTCGGTGCGAAACGCATTTGCCATCGGGAATAAACGAGAACAGGCAAGACGGAATTGCTCGATTACGGAAGCATCGATCTGACCGAGAGGTCCGTACGGAGCAGCTTTGAGCAGCTTCAAACAATCGGCACAAGTCTAGGAGAGGATGGAAGATAAGATTTGTAAACGCGAGAACAAGGGAGTAGGTTAAGTACTAGTGTCCAAGAGGAACAAGACCCTGAATTATAACGAAGAAAAGGTAGTGTAAACTATTTTCATTGAATGGAAACCACGTTGAAAGCATATCAGAATAGGCGGCCGAAGAGCAGCGTGTGTCTACAAAAATACTTATTTCCCTTCCGTTGTTCCTTTCACTGTCACCAACGTTTTTAATGGTAACTAGTAAGGGACAAGTTTACAAGTGACAACAAAAAGAAAGTTGTATCGCCTTTCAAACATAGGGCATCATGCCACAGTTGATACGTTAACGCGCACGCACGCTGTCGATTGGTCAATAAGTCATACTCAGTGGGATTTCAAACTCCTTTGAAATGGATGCATTCTGTTTCCAAAAAGGTACACATGCATTTTAAGATACCTGTGTTTCTCAAAGGTAGGCTTCAATGACGCAGCTTATATACTTCGCTTCTCCGACGAGAACGATCTTCAGAATCACCTTCTGTAGAAGTGGAGGTTGTTCTCCTAAAATCGATCCCAGGGAGCAACCGTCATTCGGCGACCAAACTCAGCTGGAGCGACTAAATAGTAGCCATAAGAACGGACTACCAATTTTTGACCTACGTTCTTACCCAATGTATGCTATGAAACACCAAAGGTAAACAACATACACTTCTCTTCTCACATTAGAATGAACGAAACTGTAATTATGGTGATCATTGCCGGTGATCTGACGTATGGATTAGGTTGCCTACTGGGGCCAGAAGATCACCTAGGAGTCGATACTTGTTGTATTGACACCGATGAAAGCTATCTCCAGCTGTGTGCCGAACACAAACGCTATGCCAGCATCACAGGTGCTTGTAAGTCGGAACTACTTTCTGTTTGGCAGCTGTCAACCTACTTTGCTAACTTTGAGAAGGACCGAAGGATGTTTAGGTAAAAATCATGGTGAAATCAGTTATACCCCAATAATTTCCTAACCACATTTTGCTGCGGTGTGTTGTAGACACATGCGAGAGATAAACCAATGTGACCTAAGTCATCTTTCGCTAGGAGATGCATCGAAAACAACTGCACGTCTCACTAGATGCTTGCATACAGGTCATCAGATTCATGGAGAATTATCCGCTTCGGTTGATCGCACTTGCCTGCATTGGGGTTTATCCTTAAAGGGATTACCGGAAAAGCTCTTGCTAATTAAAAATCTCCAAACTACTACCCAAGAGGCCTTACAGAGGTGCACGGGAAACTATCCATTGAGTTTATCGTGGCATCAGTTACCACATTTCTTTAGTTCTTTTCCAATTCGTGATCGAAATAATCATGAACGACTCTTGTCCTCTTCACTCCTGAGATCGATGTCATGCTAGATGGCCGACCATCAAACCTAGAGAACACGTAAGTCACAGTTCTCCTTTTGGGTGGGGCTACGCTGCGGTTCAAGACCTATTGTATATGAGGATGAGTAAAAATGCACGTCTTCATATGTGCTTTACACTATCAAAGTGCAATCTAAAGTCACAGCTTTCAAACAACCGTTCGGTTTGAGTAACTGGATACGTGTGTCGCAAGTGCGGTTGTCGAATCATCGAGATGCGTACCGCAGACATTGTTGAGGCTGGTGTGATTTCTCGAAGTCCTAGTCATAGTTGCATAAAAGACTACCGATTAAGGATAACGTTTACATAACTTCGGTGTGACCAGAGTTGCTGTATGACGCTGAGACACAGCTGATTTGCTCCAATAACTGTAAGAAACTGACCGTACTTGACCTCAGATAAACGCGGAGCAAAGCCTAAGTTTGTGAGAAATATTGAACGAACAATGCCAATTTCGTCATTAGGTGTTCGGCAGAAGCCCACTGGTGCTCTGCTAGTGCCGCTTGAAGTCAAATCACCCCGTCGCTGAATCGGCCAGGTGATACGTATGACATCCACTTAGGGAGGGTGCACTGCCGATTACAAACAGCATGAACAATTGGACGAAATCCCGGTAGCGGTTAGTCGACGGTAAGAAAATGATCAAACCAGGTTCCCGCGTATTACTTTCCCATAGATGGCGTTTCCTGGATCGATCACATCATTAGTCAGACAAGAGATCGAATACAGCAAAATCATGAATAGTGGCAAACACACATTCATTTCTTCATTTCTGAATGTTAACAATTACATTGGATTACAATACTTCGTGTCAGAGACAAACTTACTTAGGTACAATTTAGCCTAGTAGCCTCGGTTGAACACCGAATAAGGCATATTTGTTCGGTTTGTGATCATTAACACGTATTAACATAAGGTCGTCCATCTATACTTCCTTATCAGCATAATTCCTATTATCATTGTGCTGTAAACATATCACGGATAGCTGGAACTGGCACCGCACCTCAACGCACAGATAATACTAGCTAGAGACTCAAGAGGACTACGATATTTTTTCATTCTGATCAAAAGTTGTATAAAGCGTACGAAATTGAGGGTTGTCCTACAAATTGAAAAAAAACAAGATTAAGGAAGCAAGACTAGAAACGTGGAACGGCACATTGGGCATCATGATGTACCTATAAATAAGTAAGAACGGTGCTTGCACAAATGTCAAAAACGCTCATAGTGGAACTGCACGGAGGTAATGTCGAAAAGCTGCGTCCTGCTATAACATACAAAACAGAAACTGGTGGAAAAGAGTGCAACAAGAGGGCAGTACAATGTCGCTTACTTCCCAAGTCACGTTCCTCGAGAAATCGGAAGGAAAAGGCAACTCGGACAGGTGGTGTTTTCGCCTCTGAGGTTCAATAAGGCAGCGAACTAAAACGGCTGAGTTGGTAAGAAAATAGTGAAAATGTGTGTGTAAACGGCATCATTTTCAAACCAGGTGGGCAAACTGTACTTTCCGTAGTGGCAGCCATTTAGAATATTTTAAACAACCTGCACGCGGTAACCGCCATAGATAAAAACAAGCTAAAATGTGAAACATGAGTATAAAGAGAACAAAGAAGAGACATGGACACTAATTAGTGACCGGCGACCTGCCAAAAAAGCGACGCAAATGAATAACCCATTCCGTGCCGCACACATGGAAAGCAAATGCCAGAAGAAACAATCGCAGAGCAGACAACTTAAAAGGGGACAATGAAAATAACGCATGCGAGGCAAGTTGACATCATGACACAAGCAGACAGATCAATGTGATAGCTGCAAGTATCTACAATTGTAGGACAGGACACTGGAACGAAGGGTGATGCAAAGTTATCCAGTCGACGATCTCGTGAAAAACAATGTGCCACCACAACCAGACATACCGCACCAGAACGCAAAATACATAAGAAAATCTAGGTCGCGGCTCGCAGACACAATGCACACAAACGATTATATATATATATATATATATATATATATATATATATATATATATATATATATATTATATCAGGACATGATTGAAGTGAGCCTCACACGTTCTAATCTTGATTGTAGATCATGGGAATCGAAGGCGGTTGATCGGCATGCATGGCGCGATCTGAACACGAAGGCAGTTGCTGAGGCCAGTTGCTAGGCCATTCGAGACCACTACCGAAGCGACAACGGGTTCTGCAGAGAACGTAGGCAGAACCGGCGCAGCGTTTGTAGGTACGCTGCATTCGTTTTACTAACCGCGTGCTTGCATGTTAAGTCCCTTTATTTCTGGTGGTTTGTTTCAATTTTGCCCTAATGTTTTTCTTTCTCATATAAATGTCTACATGTACTCTATTCCATTAACTTGCACACCTCGCTTAAGCCAATTGTATTCGATTTCTATAACATTTTTGTGTTCGTGGCATTCCGCAAAGTATACTTTCTGACCTCGTGAACTTATCTCGGATCCTTTGAAAACAACTTATTTCATATGCTCATTAACTTAAGATTTATGTCACCGTTTCCTTATGCATTAATCGAGTTATTCTCTTCGTCTCTCTGTCGCTCAAGTGATTGGCTGTTGTTTGATATCCCCGGTGTGGCTGCGCTTGATGTGCATGTCGACAAGATGCCTACCTGTCTATTAACCACTACCTCGTCCATACTGGCTCCAGGAGACAGTTGATCGTTGTTGGAGGAGACGGGGTTCACGGTTCTTGTGGCCGTGCTAGGCTCGAAGAGTGGTTCCATGCATTCAGTGTGGAGCGGATTACGGTCCAGCCACCGCCTTGTGTGCGCTTGATTCCCAAATACAGTGTGCTTGTGTTTGCCTGTGAAGGAATGTGGGTCGGCTCCGTTGATGAAACGTGGCTCCCATCCACAGGCCTCCCGGTCTTATTCCTTCGGGTTTACACTGGATATGGGGTGTGTGGTTAGAGCTGTGGGTGGTGCAGCGCAAGCCATCCATGGTCCCTCTGTAGGCGCAGGCCTCCTGCGGCTTGCCACAGTGACAGGCAAATCCGAAACCGGATGTCGCCAACCATATATGGTGCGCTGAGGCTGGTGGCGGCTAGGTCCTGACAGATGGTCTACCCACTGCCGCTGCTACTGTTGTGCCATTTGCTCATGTCCTGGGCGCCTCCTGGACGCGACTGCTGGGTGGTAGTTTGGTTTCGCCCTTCTCCCTGCTAAGCTCCAGGACACCAATCCGCATGAGTCAGTGAACTGACCATGTGCAAGACCCACTGCCTTTCGGGTGTTTATTTAATCGAAGACTTTGGCTGAGGACCCGAGTCGTTCTCCTGTCAGGAGTGGGCGCCCTGCCAGTATCCTAGTCTATCCTCTTCAGAGATTAGGAAGTGGTCGGTGGCCCACTTCGCGTAAAACCTAGCCATGGGAGACAAAAGGTCTACGGGTTATAAGCTCACAGCTCGATTAGCGTAGAGCACGAGCGCCACGCATTGCCTCTGATGGTGGGGGGATACCCCCAGTGTGCAATGGTTTGCTACTGCCCGCCTCAAGCCAGGCAGCCCCTGGTCAAATTGGTGCAACCTGCCAAAACCCACCTGCGTCTGGCCGTGGTCGCAGGTGCGTATCCTACGGTCGCAAAACATATATAAAACGTTCCAGAACCTCAAAGGCTGCGTGTGACGGCCATCAAGGTGATCCCAATCTGTCTCTGCAATCACATTCCCGAGCTGGATCTGCTCCCCACTGCATTGTGGGTCAGGCTATTGAGCCAAAGGCTCCGGGCAGAGTCACTCAAGCAAACCTCCAAACCACCCATTGCCTTGTGGATCAGGCTATTGAGCCAAAGACTCCGGGCGGAGTCCCTCAAGCAAACCTCCAAACCACCCATTGTCTTGTGGGTAAGGCTATTGAGCCAAAGGCTCCGGGTGGAGTCCCTCAAGCAAACCTCCGAAGCACAACGACCACCTCGCGTGCGATTGCCCACCAATGCAATCGTATGCCTGCGCGCAAAGCACTCAGCATCGGGTGCTGACACGTGCGCACACTACTGGACCGGAACTCATGTGAGCGTCCGGAGCGACGCACTGCACTCGTCGCGATGGAGCTGGCGCGCTACAACATCGATATTGCGGCGCTCAGTAAAACCCGGCTCGTTGAGCAAAGTAAGTTGCATGAAGCAGGTGCTGGCTACACATTCTACTGGGTGGGCAACGCCGACTCAGCACCACGTGAACATGGAGTCGGATTTGCAATATCCGATCGCCTCCATGGTCAGCACGTGGGTGACCCAATGGGCATCAGCGCGCGATTGACGACTGTTCGCCGACGACTCAGAAGAAGTAAGTTTGCCACTTTTATAAGCACGTACAGACCGAGCCTGCGTTATCCTGATGAAACGCGTGATCAATTTTACACCCAGCTATCCTCCGTGATACGGTCTGTGCCGAGGAGCGACCGACTATTTCTGCTGAGTGATTTCGACGCGCGCGTTGGGTGTGATGTATCAGCATGGACAGATGTTATCGGTGCGCATGCCATTGGCTCAGCGAATGGGAACGGTGACAGGCTGCTCTCACTGGGTGCCACTCACGGCCTGACGATCACGAACAATGCGGTTTGCACTGAGTGCGAGTGATATAGCAACTTGGACGCACCCACCGAGTGGTCACGCTCACCTGCTCGACTATGCCATCGTATGTCAGCGTGATATGCGTGAAGTGCGCATGGCACGTGTACTGCGTGAACCTGCGTGTGGCACGGAGCACAAAATGGTGCGGACTAAACTATACATATATTTTCGTAAATCTATGTATTGCACTCCAGCCGTGAATCGACGTAAATTTAACATTTTTTCCCTCGGTACTGTGGCGAAACGTAGTGAGCTGGAGAAGGCGATGGCTGCACGCCGGTGTGATGTGGAAGGCATAGCCACTGTGGGCGACCTGTGGCACCACATTCGCGACCAGGTGACAGCTGCAGCCGAGGAGACCATCGGGAGCACAAACTGTAAGCGGCCTGATTAGTTTGATGACAACAATGCGACGATCGGCGCATTGGTGTCAGAGAAGAATGCAGCATTTGCTGCACATGTTGCAGACCCCAGTGACTTGGGAAAGAGTAGTCAGTTTCGCAAACTTCGACGGTGACTGACCCGAGAGCTCCGTCGCATAAAAAATGCATTGTGAACGGAGAAGGCGAAGCAGATCGAATGCTGCGCCGAACGCAGCCAACACAAGGAATTCTTTAACTCCTTGAAGGTGGTGTATGGACCGAGATTGGAGCCGATGAGGGCGCTGATCGATGGTAGTTCAGGCGCTACCTGCACACAGACTGCAGACATAATGCATATCTGGCGAAAACACTTTGACTGTCTCTTGAACAACCGTTCAGAGATCGAATGGCCTACATTGAACGGCCTCAAGCGGCACCATGTGAAGACGAGTCTAGCGGACACGCCGATACTGGATGAGACGCAGAGGGCACTTGCTCAGCTGCGAAACGGTAAGTGTGCCGTAGCCGACAGGATCCCGCCTGGAGTATGGAAACACGGCGGACCCGCGTTGTTGAATGCGCTGCACCACTTGGTGCAACGTGTATGGATTGAGGAGGAGGTGCCTCCTGAGCTGAAGGAGGCCTTTGTGCTACCATTGTACAAGGGTAAAGGGAGCAAGCAATGTTGCACGAATTATCGTGGCACCAACTTGCTGAGTTGTGTGGGCAAGGTGATTGCACGAATCCTGCTCAACCGCCTCGTCAGTCAGGTTGGGGAACCTAGCGTGTCAGAAGAGCAATGTGGATTCCGTTCGGGACGCAGCAATATAGATATGGTGTTTGCTGCTCTTCAGTTGCAGGAGAAGTGCAAAGAATGACATCAGTCCTTGTACTCGCTTTTTTTTGATTTCCCCAAGGCATTTGATACGGTGAACCGCAAGGCGTTTTGGTTGGTGTTGGGTAAGTATGGTTGCCCGCGTAAGTTTGTAAGTTTAATTGGATGTCTGCACAGTGGTATGCAAGCGAGGGTGCAGCTGAGTGGAGAGACCTCAGATGGCTTTGCAGTTGTCTCTGGTGTGAAGCAAGGCTGTGTCTTAGCTCCCGCCCTGTTATATATATATCTTCATGCAATGTTGTCTTGTGCTTTTGATGCGGCTTGTGCTTACGGTGTTCGTGTGGAGCACCGTATTGATGGTGGGTTGCTTAAGATTCGTCGTTTAGGTGCGAGAACTCTAGTCTGTGAGACAACTATCCGTATGTTGCTGTTTGCTAACGACTGTGCGTTGTTTGCACACAGTGCGGATGAGTTGCAGCCCATGACTAGTGCTCTGGCTTCGACAGCGGCCAAATTCGGGCTCACCATCAACACAAGCAAAACTGTCTGTCTCTTTCAGCCTTCACCGAAGGTGCAAGCTTCAATATTGCCGCGAATCAGCATTGGTGCTGAATTATTAGAAACCACCTCCCGCTTTTGCTACCTTGGGAATGTGATGTCGACTGACCAGCAGCTGCACAGTGAGCTGCGTATCCGCGTGTCGAAGGCAGTGGCGACATTCGGGAAGCTTGAGTACCGAGTGTGGAACAATCATCAGCTTACCAATGGAACGAAGTTGATAGTGTACAAATCCATGGTGCTGTCCGTTCTTCTATACGGCAGTGAAACGCGGACGAGGTACCGGCAGGATGTGCGATATCTCGAGCGCTTCCATCAGTGGTGTTTGCGACTGATTTGTTGGGGCGACAGAGTTGCGGACACGGAAGTGTTGCGACAAGGTGGAGTTTATGCAGTGGACTGCATACCTTTGCTGAGACAACTGAGGTGGCTCGGTTATGTGAACCGTATGGATTCGACGCGGATACCGAAACAACCCTTATATGGTCAGCTGAGTATTGGGAAATGGCAGGTGGGGAAACCAAAGTTACGTTACCAGAACATGATTAAAGTGAGCCTCACATGTTCTAATCTTGATTGCAGATCATGGGAATCGAAGGCGGTTGTTCGGCATGCATGGCGCGATCTGAACGCGAAGGCAGTTGCTGAAGTGCGGGAGAATGACCTCATATATGCAGAGAAGCGGCAAGCACCGATGGTTTGTTCTCTATCGACATCAAGCGCATGGTGCTGTAGCACATGCGGTCGCGAGTGCCTGAGTCAGGCAGACATAGTATGCCATGACCAAGGCCCCTCAGGACCACTACCGAAGCGAGAACGGGTCCTGCAGATAACGTAATCAGAATCAGCGGGGCGTTTGTAGATACGCTGCATTGGATTTACTAACCGCGTGCTTGCATGCTAAAACTTTATTTCAGGTAGTGGGTTTTCAATTTTGCCTTAATGCAAGAAAGCAAGGTATTGATAGCATGCTGCTACCACGGCTCACAGTGGAATAAACGGAGTTGAGTCAGAAAGGTGAGGTGGATCACCGGTGCCCACCATCAGTGGCCAACGATTTCACTTCTATCCGACATTGAAGAAGAAGGAAATTCTCGGCAAGCGACCAGCCGGCATACGTGAACCATGACCGGTATATTCCTCGATAATGAGAGGCACAGTCCTGCTGAGTGATCTGATCATTATGTACAGCGGAATCGAGGGAAGGACATGATATTTTCGAGTTTCTCAAGCTGTCCCGAAACTGTTTTGGGTAGGTCTGATCAACCAACTGCCCTAAAAACCGAGAAAATCTAAATAATAAAATACGCAGACAAACCTAAATGTTTAAGTAGAGGGGTACGGCTAACCGTGGAACCGTGACCTGCTTCTATACAGTGTAGTCTCTCGAAAGGATTCATCCGCATTCCCAAGCCTTATCCGGTAAGGCTTTAGAGTAGGTAATCAAAAACTTATTTAAGTCATTTTTAGTATTGCCAGGGAGCCCAAAACCGGCAACGGCTCTGCGCCTCAATCGAGGCCTGACCGCAACATAGCAGGGATTTCATGATGATCCACAAGAGGCACTTGCACTGAGGTGGAGGTCAAACTACTTCAAAATCATCACTTCGAAGACATCCCGCCCAGCATGGCATGAGCGGTGTCGACGTGATCAAAAGTACCACCGGGTACAAACAGCAAGCAGTTCAAGCACCCTACACAACCAGCTTCATTCTCACTTAAAGTCTGCAAATAAAATGGTTAAAAAGGATGCAGCATAGGGTGTGAAAATTGCCAAGAGTCCTTCATACTGTCCACCGTGTCGCGCGGGCAGTGTTTGTCACAGTGATTAGGTACTCAGTGTAGAATGCGCGGAATGCAACATTGACTTATTCATTGTAAACGTTAGCTGGTGTCGGAAATAGCAGATCTATTGTGCCACAATACAATGCAGAAAGATGTTCGAAAAAAGATATAGTGAAAAGTAGATTGGAAACTAATAATATCGTGGCTTTTGAAATCTGTACTTCAATGGAGAGGGACAAAGGAACCCACAACACATACACCACAGGTCAGTTCTTCGCCATGTCAACAAGAGTTGCCAACCGACGCCAACTATGAAGTGAGGGCCTTCATTCCGTGGCCTGAAGAAACTCTTCAAGCAGGAGGAAAAAGTGGCCATGAGGAAAAGTTACGAAACATATTTGTATTCCAAACTACATGAAATCAGACCCCTATTTTCCTTGACGAAGTCAACGATAGGATGCGCAAACGACACATATTTCGGCAGTCGGGAAGCTGAGATGCCCAATACGTGACCCAGCCATCGGAGCCCCGTACCGAGTATGACGAAGCTGAGCTGCTCATCCACTTTCCGCAAGAAATACATGCCGACCAACGCGGTGTTCTCACCAGATATTATCTAAACTGCGAAGGCACTTGGTGATCGAATGTAATTAGCCTTTTTATGTCTGGCAATTGAATAGGCCAGATTTCACAACCGTATAGAAGGGTTGAACGGACGGCTGCGCTGTTGACTCCACCCCTCACAGCCAGAGTGGTGTCAAGCCGGTACCACAAGTGACGGATTCGAGCAAATGTGCCTCGGGGTTTTCCTATACGATTCCAGTGGCGCTGAGACAGTTGCCAAGGTGGTTGATTTTCTGAACGAATTCTATCTGATCACACGAAGGGTCAGCGTAAGATGTGGTCCATGCCAACCTTGGAGAAAGACTGCATTTGGGGAGCGCAGTGTAGATCGAAATAGGTGACAATCAGCGCTAATCTATCAAATGCCGTGTGGCAAGTTTATGAGCTTTCACAAATCAGAGAAATATCAACGACATACTGCTAGTCAGGAATTCAATCATCTGGAACCAACTACACATTATGCGATGGTGATCAGTGAACGCAGTCCCCATGACTTCGTTAATAGCGAAGTTAAAAAGGAAGGGTGACAGGGAGCATCCGTCTCACACCGCCGGTGATATTGAATGGTGGTGACAGCCTGTCGTATGAATGACGTTCCCAGAATTACAAGCGTACAGCACCCCGATAATGTTTATGTATTCGTCGGGCACAGCTTTTCTGAGCAAACAGACACAAAGAGCACCGAATCCAAGGCACCTTTGATCTCGGTGCGTCGCCGATATATGTGGCGGTGCTCCAATAACTGAAGTAGCTCGATACAGCTGAATAACTTACAACAAATTAAACCCGTAGTGCGTGTCTATGGACTGCATATGTGTGCGTGTTTTGTTTGCAAAGGTAAGGACCGATAGGCGTCCATGTGATGGCACGGCAAAGAGGCGCAGGAGAAAGTGCCCAATAGCGTGTCATTTAAACGCCTGCCGGAAACACGAATGGAAAGTTGGGGAGTTAACTAGATGTATGAGAGGAAACGGCTTCTGGCGTGATGCACGAGAGAAGAAAACAATGCTCCAAAACTCGATTTTGCTTCTAACCGCATACCACCTATCTCGCTATCAACACTTCACACTACATCTTACAGTTTGAGTTGGGAATGGAACTCGGATCCTAATGGTTAACGGTTGACGTCTTGATCACTGGACCCCTGAGATCCATGAGAAAGGCTTAGCAAGATGGTGTTCGAATTCAAAGTTGGCATTTGCAGCATCTTTCGTGTGTCTTGGGATGAGACACGCAATCACAATTGTGGAGTTGGTTGACATTAAAATCAACCTCTGCCGTTCCGATCACCAAGACCGTATCGGAAGTGTGGAGGGTTTCGGCGTTGTTCCCTCCCATCAGTCCACACACAGGTAGCGAACAACGAAAAAACGTTGCATTGTGAACGCGGTTCTGGAGATCTAAATGATCGAGACCAACTACCGAGTAAGGAGGCGTTTCAATAGAGAATACGTATTGCGATCCGATCACACGATGGGTACTCCCCATCCCAACTATGAAGTGTATTTTCAGTCTCTATTCTCAGCACTTCGTTCCACTGCTCTTTATTGTAGTAATTTAATCCTGGATATGGGTATTAGTAACTCAGCATCTGAGCTTAGAAATTTGAATCACAAATGGCAACAAAACCGAACTGAACTAACCCCTGAAAACGTGCGGGAAGCTTTCAGAATTCCGGGCCATGAATTCGTCGTTGAACGTTACCGGTAGAGATGGACTTGAATCGGGCCATCCGGGAAACAGGTCCATTGATTCGGGGAAAAGAACCTTATATACAGGAGACTCTGGAGAACTGGTGGTCATGAGGGGGGCCAATTGCTGAAGTCGACATATGAAGCGCACACAACACTCGTGGAACCATGGGTGATCAACAGAATCATGAATGCGCTTTCCGTGTTTGATAGAACGCAGCATGAGGAGGAGCTTATCTGTAAACGTGAGCATGGCAAAATTAAAAGGACGAAAAAACGTGGTCATCCGAGAAAAACATTGGGATTTTGAAGGATGTGGGCATAAAAGGAGCACAAGACCAGATCCCATGTTGTCAAAGCCATGATAAAAGCAAAAAAAAACCCACTGCTGAAAGTATGAGGCACTGACTGCGCAGAGGACAATTAAACATCTGCACCATAGAAAATGCAAGATCGAGAACGATAACAAAACCTACAATTACGAATGTCATCCGGAGGAAAGCAAAATATTTCTGAAAAGACTGTTTTGACAACAAAATGGTCTGGATAGTGTTCAGTACAGGTATTCAGAAAACCCACGAGTACCAAGTGGTGCCCCTAGTTGTCTACGGACTATCTAGCGGCTTGATGATATTATTACGTTTGCTAGCTGACTGAGTAGTTGCAGAGGCACCTATTTCAAGAAATAAGTGTTCTAGCGATATCAACAAATTCCAATGGGATTACATTTGACCAAAATCGCTCAAAGTGTGACGAAGTAAAAACTACGCACACGAAACATTATATCAAACTTGCTGTGTATGTCAAAAATAAGAGAATTTCATGTAACTGGGAAAATAATAATCCTGAGCTGTCATAGGCTACAACAAACAAACTCAGAAATGACGAAGAATTCTCGAGCTTGACATTCACCGCTCTGGTTAATTGGGAAAACGCTCGTTAAAGAGTCGTAGTGGAAAATAGGCATACAACCATCAAACGTCCTGGAAAGCGAGAAAAAGGTCAACAGTGCCCATTTGGTACCAAAGACGGGACTGCAGTGATTTGATCGCATTTTTTGCAGAACAGAACAGCAGTTAAGTTACAGTGGTTTTCGATGCTATGGGTAACCGATGAGTTCTCGTGGGAAAAGTGGTTGTGGTAGCCAACCCTGTTTCTCGCGCCGTTGCGACATGTAGTGTTGTGGTAGCGCATTATGCCGTATCTGGCCACGTGACATGCTCATGTCCATCGGCAAGATTTGTAGTCCGCAAAAGCAGGGTAGTTGGACCAAACGCTTTAAGGGTATGGCAGGAGATGCGTACACATGACAAGTCACGAAAGGATGAAAAATTCGCAGTCTCGAAAGGATAACTGATTGTCTATTGGGTGGCGTAAGCCTTTAAAAACTATAGGTAAACGTGGAAAATATCAACAGACCAAAGATGACCGGCCAAAAGACAACCGGGAAAACAAAACATACGTAAAAGAGTCATGATTTACATGTGAATACAAAATGCATTGGCTGACAAAGGTTAGGGAACGAAGGACATTTTGCCCATGAAAACAGCAATAGCCGAAAATATACTGCGAAAAACAGCCTATAATATGGTAAACATCGGCACCATATAATTAGGTGCCATATGCCAACCATGTGATCTGATACTTCGCTGTCATACAATCAAAACGGCATACCGCATTAAGAACATAATACTAAGAGGGAGAGAAGGGGGACATACCGTAAAACTTTAATGTCCTGAGCAAAAAAATTCAGAGCCAACGCGCCCACAACAACGCACGAACACAAAAGGCGAGCTATCGTGCAAATATGCAAACATCGAAGAGATAGTTTCTTTGCAGTCTACACTGCCCTGCGTCATAACCAGAAATTACCCAACAGATAACTCAGCGCCAAACACCCTTTAAACAAGTGGTCCGACAAGGAGACGGTAGAAGACGCGCCACTGGTGTCGACTGCAAGCCATACCCTGTAACGTCTCGCTCCAAGCACAAGATGGATCACGTAGACTCTAGCCTGGAAGATGAGACGGACAGACGGCACCGTGTTCGGTCGTCAGTGACTCTGATTCCCGCTGCCAAGTTAATATTTTCCCACCTCGGGCCTCGATCCACTCAACATCTGGCAAACAAAACAATGCCCTAAAGGCAAGCGGTGACCAGGCATATGTAGTATGTGTCTAAGTCAACGTTACTTACTCAATGCTATCCCCTGTTGTTAGGAACTAACATGATTATCACTGCCCAGCCCTCACTTATGCACATAAGCGTTGTGGACACGCTGGTGCAATCCGACAGCAGCAATGCTTCATAGGCAACGATGATCAAAGATTTGGAGACGCCGCAGATCCTCAGACCGAAGGAGCCAGGTTTCGCTACCATACAGTAGGACGGCCCTCAAGGTGGTCTTGTAAACACGGTCTATCAGACAATTAGTGAATGACTTCAGTTGTTATGCGCATGTCGTTATTGATACAGCTAACAATGTGAGTGATGTCATCAAATACCACGAGTTCCTCGCTTTCAGAAATCAAGATCACCTATTGGCTGATGGTCCTGTAACAACACTGCTCCCCGTGGACTTACTAATCACAAGCCTGCCTTGTAATCTGAGGGCTTGGATTCGAACCTGCCAGGCGCCATCACAGTAACCTAAGACCACGTGCGACCGGTGGTGGTTGCGCGGCAACGAAGCGTCGATACTGCTGGTACCGTGAAAATATTGCACTTTAGAGGCGCGAAGCGTATGCCAAATGATGGGCTACCCCAACATCAGTAAACCAGACAATATCGTGTGCATAATCGAGATCAAATAGATTTTCACTAGTAAAGTTCACAATTAGAAGCCGATTTATCTGACAACTATTTTAGCCAAGGTTGCCAAAAGGATCATGAAGATGGGTCTAGTACAGCTGTTTCAATCAAAATATCTACTAACATCCGCACAGTACGGTGTTGAGCTATGTCGCTCAAGCATTATCAAGCTGCTGGTGACGAGGTGTTAATGGCTCCAGGTAGAGAACCAGCGAGTTAGTAAACGCAATTTATATCGAGCTCAGCAAAGGGTTCGAAAAGGTAAATCATGGAGTCCTCCTGCACAAGCTGCGCGCGGAGTTGGTGGATCACTGCTCCAGTGGATCCAGAACTTTCTCGTTGGACGAAAGCGGAGGGCACAGGTCGACAGCCATCTAACTGGCTGGTATTTCTCTACAAGTGGAGTACCCCAAGACACGGTGTGGGGGTAAACTCTGTCCTTAATCCATATCCGCGATATACCTCAGCTTCTTCGATCGCATGTGACGTATTTGCAGACAACCTGAAGATTTGGAGTGATTAGCACCCAAGACGAGTGTCGCTTAGTTCAGCAAGACCTCAACCGCCTCCCCATGTGATCTGCGGAAGTCCGTCACCCGGTCAACCTAAGTAAGTTCGCATTTATGAGCCTGCGGAAGGGAGACGACGGCTGAACTTACACCATTGACGGCTAACCGCCACATCCAACATTTTCCAAGAACGCCCCAGGCGTATTCTCGCGCTGCGATTTGAAGTCCGTTGATAACACGAACAGGCTATAGAGAAACGGACAGCGCATGCTTTGGGAGCTAAAATGCTGCTTCTGTAGTTGGTTTGAAGAGGCCGACACTCGCGTATTCTCTTTCACCATAAGACCAATAAAGGAATATGGCTCACCTGCCTACTGACCAACACCTGATGTGAGACACCGGAGATCGAACGGGTCCAACAAGTTGCTACCACGCTCATTTCGAGTTTAGGAGGATTGATGAACAAAGGCCGCTACGAGAAACTAGGACTATACACCGTGTCTTACCTTCGGGTGCGAGTCGATCTCATCAGGACCTACTGCATGTTGAAGCCGCTGCTTCGCTTGCGAACGCTATGCAGCACACACGGACACTGGTGCGGGAGATAAAACGAGTTCCCCACCCCTGTGCTTAGAACGGAGGGTGGTAAATATGTGGAACAATCTGCCAGAAAAAGTCGTGAAGTCAAAGCTGTGCAGCAGTTCAAAACGCTGTCGGATATACATTTCACCACCATTCGATTCGGAGAACGATTACACACTAGCAATAACACTGCATATGTGTGAGTCCACGGAAACTGTAAACCACTTTAGTGTTACATAAGAATTTGAGGAAAGATTAGATTATCACGAGCAGCAGATACGTTTCATAACAATTTTGATTTTACCGCGATTGGGTTGTAAAGATTTAAAGTTCTACCTGCTCCCACAATACAGTATGCGGTATTCAACGGCCGCGTCCTGCGATCCTGAAAGTGAACACTCCCTGGTGGAGTCAACGACAAAGTTGAGCAAAATGTGGCTATTAGACAACCCTGACGAACGCCGCTAGTTGTCGGAAAGATAACCAACAAGTCACCGTAAACTCTGATGCGGGCTGTGGTGTTCGAGGACAGGGCACGTAAAAATGCTCACATACCTCAAGGAAACAGGTTTCCGCGCAAGTATTTGGAAATGAATGGAACGAGCGACTGGTCGAACGCACACTTGAAGTCGAGGAACAGGTACTGTCGACCTGTGATGTGTGGCGCAGCTCTAGCACACGTCGCAAAGTAAGTATACGGCATATACAGTCTAGGCCCTGGGTGGAAACCTGCTCGCTCTTCTCTAATCCGGAATACCCGTTGCGCAGTAAAGCGACGAATCAGAATGGAGCCTAGTATTTTTGTCACCACCGGCGTTACACTAAAATCCCTGCGGTTAGCCTAGTCAACGCGACTGAATTTGCATATGCCCACTGTGATCGATTTACTATAGTAAGTTAGGATGGTCTCTTCTTGCAATACCTGTCTGAACAGAGAAATCAGAGAATTGCAGAGGACCTCACCATCATCCTTCAACAGTACGGGTTCCGGAGGATCCAGACCAGCAGTTGGAAAAAGATTGAGGGCTGTGGTCGCGTTTCGAACTTAAGCTTCCGACAGAGGTTGTAAACTAACCGGCCATGGGTCAGATAGAGTAGAAACAAGTCTGGGAGAAAGGGGACAACCGAACTGTTCTCGAAAGGGCTCTGCTCAATGACCCAGTTGGCCGACACCCGAGCTGTTTCTGATTATCTCACTTGACGCACAACTCTATGAAACCAATGATGCGGTTAAGTTGGAAGGGATTGCGATAATTACCTATTGATCCTGCCTCCAACATTTCTTGGGCGCAACTGGTCAACCAAGTTTCCTTGTTGGTACGCAGGCGCCACTTT